GGTAGGGTACTGGCCACATACACTGAGCCTGGCAGGTCGAACCTGGCCCGGGCCAGCTAAAACAATAACAGCAACAACAAAAAACTAGCCAGGCATCGTGGTGGGCGCCTGTAGTCCCAGCTACTTGGGAGGCTAAGGCAAGAGAATCGCTTAAGCCCAAGAGTTTGAAGTTGCTGTGAGATATGATGCCACAGCACTCTACCAAGGATGACAGCTTATGACTCTTGTATTAAAAAAAAAAAAAAACTGCTTGAGCTCAAGCAATTCTCTGCCTCAATCTCTCCCGAACTATAGATGCCTGCCATAAAGCCCAGCTTTTTGTTGTTTAGCAGGCCCAGGCCAAATTCTAACACCTCAGCCCCACAGAGCATGTGGCTGGCACCCTAACCACTGAGCAATGGGCGCCCAGCCCTTGTCTTTTTTTTTTTTTTTTAGACGGAGTCTTACTCTTGTTATCCTGGAGAGAGTGCTGTGGTGTAATCATAGCTCACAGTAACCTCAGTCTCTTGGGCTCAAGAGATCTTCTTGTCTCAGCCTCCCCCAGCAGCTGGGACTGTAGGTGCTGCCATGATGCTTGGCTAGTTTTTCTATGGGGTCTTGCTCTTGCTCAAGCTGGTCTCAAACTCATGAGCTCAAGTAATCCACCTGCCTCAGCCTCCCAGAATGCTAGTATTACAGTAGGTGTGAGCCACTGAGCCTGGCCCACACTTTCTTCTTGACAGTGGAGTATTTCAGTTTTAGTTCAATTTCCTGGTAAGTTTTTAATGCTGGCAACATTAAATATCTCCAAAGTAGTTTTATTTCCATATTTAGGAAGGACATGTAACAGCACTGTATATTTCACTAAATACCAGGAAAAATCTCATACCAAGCTAGTCTTAAAAATTAAGTTTTACTTTTTTTGAAACTAAGGGAAACTTCTGCCATGGGAAAAATAATGGCTGTTGGATTCCTAACTAAGTTCCTAAAAGCCTATTTATGTTTTGGGGCCAGGGCACAATTACCTAACAAATGCAATCGGTATACCTGGTTTCTTATACCCTCAATGAATCCCCAACAATTAAAAAAAAGAAAGAAAAGCCTGTTAACGCCTCCAAAGAATAGAATCAATAGCACTATAGCAACTATTTTGACTTATACTGTTGTTTAAGAAATACATATGTAGGCTCGGCGCCTGTGGCTCAAGTGGCTAAGGCGCCAGCCACATACACCTAAAGTGGCGGGTTCGAATCCCCAGCCCAGGCCCACCAAACAACAATGATGGCTGCAACCAAAAATTGGCCAGGCGTTGTGGC